TTGGGGCATCTAACAGGCGTTGTAGGACAGTAAGTGCATTATAGGCTCTCGACCACGTTCATTAAACTGCAATTTATTAAATAACAAGAAATTTGTAGGTAATGTTATGATAACGTTGCAAGTAGCTTGAAGCTTGTAGATTCACGTGATAATCTTAGTTTTTCAATTAAAAATCCAATTTTTTAAATAAAATAGTGGTCTAACTTATGGACCAAATCATTTCTTTTTGTATGTATTACGGGCTGGTACTAGCAAGGTGGCCCACACATTTTCACGGTCCATCAAAGCATGTCCATATTATAAGCCATGGATAATAAGCAACTTCATCATTGTTTTAAGCAATTCACCAATAGCATTTTTGTTTTTTAATATTTTGTACACATTTATGAAGCTGAAGAAGACATTTATATACCTCAGAACACGAAAAACTTGTTAAAATCAAGAGTTGAAATAAGTTAACCTAAAACGACGATAAAACTGAATCTTTGTTTACCTTCAGTATACGTATATACCAATGCTGATGGGCCAATGTGGTGGTCCATAATATGGACTCATGTAAAATCCTACAAAATACATATTATGGGCCACAAGAATACTTCAAAACTTTAAGCCAAGTAAAGTAATCCCGTTGGTGAAAATAAATTGAAATATATCTTACTTAAAAGCATTTGTTTATTTAAATATCACAAGGAATAAAAAATAATTGTGATTTATTTGTGTGTAATAACTTTTAAAAGTGGCCCATAATGTGGACAAAGATTATGGGCCAGAGTGACATATTTAAATTAGAGGCCCATAATACATACAAAAAAGGATGTCGACATTTTCTGAATTTTAATCTTTTTAACACTCTTTTTCACAATTATTACTATTGGTACACATTTAATAAGTCTAACACTTCAAGAAGGTATCGCAAGTATCAAAAGAAAACGTATTATTATTTTACAATGACCATGATTCCAAAAAGGTAGGGAGTAAGTGGCTCATAATAGGTACCTTTACCATATATCCAAAGTATTCTTAAATATAAATATTATTGATCATGAACGAAGTTGGCTTTTGTCAAATATAGCTATTACGTCTTGTAAAAAAGTTCATATTTTTAATTGTTGAGAAAAATGAAGTGTCAAATCAGTAACCTAACTATATTAGTTTGCATAGTAATATCCATATTATTTCAGAAAAGGCAAATGAGCGAGCTCAAATTGTACGAAATAGAATTTACGAAAAGTTCAAGGTTCGACTTGATCAAGTCCTTCAAGGGCATGGTACCACTACAAACGGTAACGTTGCTCGAAAATGCTTCGCGGAACCAGAAAAATTTGCTGAAGTTCTTGAACTAGATGAAACACTGGTGAAAAACATTTCTCTCGTAATATCATTATTCAAAAGTAAGCACGCACTAGTTCTGAGCAAAATGAGTACACTGTGTATTGAAACTTAATAAAAAGTATTACGAATGTTATTCCTGGGCGAAAATGAGCCTCACATTACTTAAATTGCTTGCTCATAGTTGTGAGATCGCGAAAAAGTTTTTAATAGGGCAGTTTACATGACAAACCCTATCATTTCATTAGAGTACATTGAAAAAAGACAACGGCTAAAGGCAAATCATAAAAACGTTCAAGACTTAAGTGGATTCACGCGATCACAGTAAGTAAAATCACTTATAAAGTCTCTACAAAGTTCTTTTTTAACTTGTGAATTTCAGTGTAATATTGAATAAAATTAGACGCAGTCAACAAGTAATAGATTTCAAAAATCAATACAGGCGTAATATTATATATTACCATTGTTAAAAAATCATAATATCCTATTTCTACATGTAAATGTAGTAATTACATCGGAAATTCTAATTACAGCTGTATTATACGCTGGGGGAAAAAAGATTACATAATGAATTTGTCATTATACGTGCAGTATCTTAAACTTATTATATTCACTAAGCAAAACAATTATTTTATTTTTTAATTAAAAGTTATATTCAATTGTACTTATTATTGAATCAAAACTAAACAATTTTGTCTTGTTTCAAACGGAGAATACAGTTGTATTTCATTTACCAGCTTCTTAAAAATACTTCTAAATATTTCTGTACATCATCACGAAACTTTAATGATATCTTACATTTGATTAAAATTACGTCTTGAATTGTAGAGTAGTAAATTATATGATACTTTCTTGATCACTTTAATTATGAAAGCGATAAATACTTTTCAATAAAATGTTACCACTTAGTATATCTTATATGGCTATTATTTTGAATACCTAATGTAAAGTAAAAAATGTGTTTTGTCTCTTTACTATGGTATTAAAGCAATATCTTAAAATTTAGTATTACTTTGTTTAATGAATTTTAGTACCCGTAATGGTGAGATAGACTGATTATTATGCGAATGTAATCAAAGTAAATCATATAATTAATTTTTGCAAGGTTATTGGAGAGTGAAATTATGTTAGAAATAAACGAAAATAGTCATAAAAATTATTTTCATGCAAAAGTATTATTAATGATAATTATTAACCGATGTCAATCATGAAATTATAAACATTTCCAGGAAGAACGACGATGATATAAGTGACATGAAAAAGGAATCCGATTAAGAGTGAAACAAGCACGTAATAATTTAAAAGCATCCATGACATCATCGCAATTCATCGTTTCTCTATTATTATATGATTATAATTATCAAAGGCATCAATTTGATCAAGCTACTTTATATTCCTGAGAAATCTAATATTAGGAGAATGAATAAAGAGAACAAGAAAGAATTTTCAAAACACGAAAAAAATTTCCAAATACCACATGAGTATATAGGTTAATTTTTTTTTATATCATTGAGTAGTTATTTATCACTCCCAGCCACAACACTTACACTTCTGAAAACTTTCTGAAGAAAATAATTTTTTTTTTGGAATTATGCTTGATTTTGACAAAAAAGTCACTTTTTAGACGCAATTTTAATACCTTATTTCAGAAAATGAAGAATATATGTAAAATAAATATGAAGGTATAATACCAGCTCTTTAAAACTTATTTTTCAGTGGAAACAAAAAAAAAAAAAATTAAATTGAAAAATTTCTGAAATAATCCAAAATTTGTAGGTTAGGATTTCTATTTTTACATTTTTCCTTAATTTTCTGTTATTCCTTGTCATCATACCTATGAGATCCAAAAAATTTCAGAAAAAAATATTTCTTCTAAGGAAGTTTACATAGTTATGAAACGAAAAATATCAGTTTCTCCCACTGTGGAGCGTCTCTCCCTTCATTTGGACTTCTTTTTCCCTTGACTATTCCTTTCGTTGGTTTTTTCCACTTTATTTATCTTGTGTTGGCACTACACTATATGGATAATAACCGAAAGTAGCAAAAAATTTAGAGATAAGAGGGATAACTTTTTCACGTCTGTGGACACCTGATGTGTGTTGCAAAGGCAATATGCAGAAGATTTATCGGTGCGTTTGACTTTTTTTTTAACTTTTACTTGTTTGAGCGCTTACAAGAAGAAAGACAGTAAAAAGGTCGACTGCAGGTTGGAAAAAAAGATAGTGGGTTGGGACTGATGTTCAGCAGTAGTTGCGTGTAGCGTATGGCAGTTCCTAGCGTGCAGAACCGTTCACTTGCATGGTTTAAACGTGACTTAAAACAAGAACACAGTGCGAAAACATAACCAACTGAGCTACCAATGCATGGGACATAAAAAGAATCAATGATATTTATGTTTGTAGTCAAGTTCCAAAGCTTAAGATTTAATTTAAACCTTATCGAATTATTAAAGTTAAGCTGTGTATTAATTATTAACAGTCATACTTATGTTGCAAAATTCATAATTGCTCACGTTCACAAAACTTACTTTGCTTTCAGACAGGAATTGCAAGAATTAACAAAGTATAAATTAGTCAAGACCTTCGAAAATAAACTATTAGCAATTGTTTGATGCAGGGCAAACGTAAGGACGGATACGACTGTCCAATTATACTTTTTTTTAAGTTATATTGTCATATTTACTATTGTTCGAAATGTATAAATTGGATTAATAAAAATTAGCAGCAGTAGCAGAAGTAGCAATGATGATAGTAGTAATAGTAATAGTTCTCAGACACTAGCGTTTAGAAACGGCGTTCTCAGACAGTAATAGACATTTTCAATATAAGTAGATTAGGCAGTGCATCAGAGGCTTAAAACTCTTGAAAATTTGTGGTTGTTTCCAACAAATCGTGTTAAAGTTGAAAATTAGAGAACATAAAATTTAGATTAATATTCGAAAGTTCCTACATAAAGCGAGATACGCATCGTGGATTTTTTAATGTAAATTAAATTATTCTTTCTGCTGTCCTGTGACACTTTTTAAATACTTTGCAAACTTTTAAATATAAAACAAAATTTTAAACACAAAAGTTAAAGAATAATTCTACATAGAGATTAAGTGTATTAACAAACGTAAATTGTTTATTAGTGTTTTAAATCATTCATCACTCCGCATTATTGTGTTTTTAGTGCTTAATAAATTTTCAAATGATTGTTCCAGTTACCTTATCAAGTAATATCAATTGCAAATCACGTGCAAGTAAAAATTTTTGAGCCGCTACTTTGCAGTTTCAGCAGACTGATTGTTTGCGATCGCTAATAAGTCCCTTTTACGCGTAGAATAATTATGAAACATTTGCGCATTTTTTGGTTTGAAAGGGAATTCTGTACGTTATAAAACAATCAAAATAAAAAAACGTGTATTATGTAATAAATCACAATTACGTTGTTGTAAAATGTGTGAAATAAAAATAAGAATAGGTGGTATCGCATTTACAGCAGCAGTATTGTTGTTTTTAGTAAATTTGTTCTTACGATGTTATTTTACTTGATATTTTTGTAAGCATCAACTTAATTTAATTTTTGTTGATAACATTACATAAATAATTATTTTTATAAGTTGACTCTTCTTAAATCTTTTAAATTGTTAACAATATACTTTGTAATTTAATTAAAAATTTTATTTTCAGACTATCCAGTTAATAATGGGAAAACTACAATTGATATCATATATCAATTACGAAATGATAAAAATATGTATGAGACTGGAATTTTTAAAGAGAAAAATATGATAGTAAGTTGCTCAAATGGACCTGTTTCTTATAAGATAATTCATGATCAACAGTACACAGGTTTTTTTTGGGGGTATTCCAATATTAGTTCATATGATCTTCAATGTCTTATTTTTCATGGAACTATTTTGAACTTGAAAAATAATTTCAATCCAAATTTATACAGGTAAAACATCAACATTATACCTGGTAAATGATGTTGCTGGGATAAAATCTATTATGTTTATAGGAGGAAATTATAATTTAATCCATTCTATTTATTTTAGATCTATTATGTTCGATCACATGGAGATACCACTGCATTATACGTATGGTTCTACGGAATACTGGGAAGCAAGACGAAGTATGCGTTATAACTCCATACTTTACAACATTGCTTACAATTTTACATCAAAGTATATTAATTTAATGGAGCACATGGATTTAATTTGTGATTTAAAAAATAATCAGGGAAAAAATTTATCTCAGGTATAAAAAGTATTCTGAATAAGTTAGGATATTATTGCAATTTTTTTTTAATTAAAATGAAATCATAAACATACATTATGTTATAGCTTTTAAAATATTTATATAATAATCTGTAGACTAAGAAAATTAGTGTTAAAAAAAAAGTTACATCTATAGGAAAAGGATACAAAAAGTACGCGTAGGGCTACTACCAGGTGCGAGAAAGCGCGAGGATGGTCGAAAACAATTAATTAGCAGTTTTGGTGGCTTTAAATAATAGAGGGAGATAGCGTAATATAAGGGAAAGCGAGAGCTTTTCATCGGCTAGCTCACCAAGCTCAAGCGACTGTTCTAGCGTTTGGTAGAAGTAGTCCCGATACAGTCGTCAAGTGCCTCGTATGCGATATAGTCTAAGCCAATCGGCTGCGTACTGACTAATAACCGTGAGTAAAAGGAATCGCAATCAAATGATTGAGTAAAGCTCGTAAGTTCTCTTTTTTGACGACTCCTCATCGTAGAGGTAGTAAAACCCTTAGTGGTGGCCTCGCAGATGTGCTTCATCTCATGACAGAAAATTTCGATTTGACTTGAATTATTCTTTTGTAATACCACGTAGTTTAGACACTGAAATCCCGTTGGATATTGCGTTGTGCTCTTAGTTTGCTTTATAATTTACTTACTTGAATTGAATTGCGTTTAAAAACGTGTTATGTATTTTGATATTAAAGTGTAAGTGCTGGATGGTGTAAATTATTAGTTAATTGATAATGAAACGAATTATTTAGTTCAAAGATATAAAAATGAGATATTTTTGTAAATTAGAAATAATTGTACTGCGATCACAGTTCCATTATTAGATTTATTGGAATTTTCCTACTAATGATTAACGTTTGAATGGTTTTTCGGAATAGCTGGTCATTCCTGAACAAGCGAAATTGAAAATGCGAGGATAGCTGTGTTTTTTTTCTATTTTTATTTCATTATGCACTTATTAATCCTACGTAGGTTGAGTTTCCTTTTTATTGTTTTATTTTGAGATATTTGCGAGCTAATATCAAAGCATATTAAAATTTATATTTGAAAAAACAATTACCAAGTGATGAATTGTCATAGTAAGATCTTTTATTTTTTTTTTATTAGGAACATATGGTTTCCAAAGTCCTGTCTCCTTTCACAAAAGTGATTAATTTTCTAATTATTAGTAGAGACACTCCTAAAAGTTTTGTTTGTAATCAAATTCTAAGATTGCGTATTAAAGTTTATTTGAGAACACGTTCATACGAGATCGAGTTAATTGACCTGTACCTCTCCTTGTCGAATAAATACCACACATTTAGGTACCCTTATATATCGTAACTGGTGAGGTATATATATATATATATCCTTATATTATATAATTGTATTGATGAAAGTGAGTCTCAGCCCCCCCTGCTCCCCCTCGGTTTACGTTGTTATTTTCTTGCTGTAACGTCATTTTTAATCGAATTATATTTGAGTGAGCTACCCCCCACACTCCCCCCTCTCCCTCTCAGCTCCCCCTCCACCCCCCTAATAAAATACTTATTTATCTAATGTTTTACCATCATAAATGTTAAAAAATATACGCAATTTAGTACCAAAGTCATAACTCATTTTTAGGGTTTTTTAAGTCATTGATCATAGGTCTCCCTCTGTCTATTCGGTTCTCCTTACTCACCATATGTCTCTGAAGTACCATTATTTGTTTAACTTGATTGAACTTTTAAATTTCAAATCTCTTTCTGGTCCATGTCTACTTTACCCAAATATAAAATTCTTGATTACTTGAGGACTTTATTAAGTAAAAGACAGAATTCAGGAGGGGGTATAATTTAATAGACAAACACTATTAAGCTTTTAAAACAATAATTCGTTCTGTTAGCTTATTGTTGTGACATTTTATGTGTCATTTGAACACATCTGTTCTTTTAAAACCCTTTCCACATTTTTCACATATTTGTTTTTCATGGTTTTTATGAATTAATATGCGTCTGTTTTAATGTGATGATCTTCAAAGTTACAAATTTTTGAATTACTGAAAAAATTCTAGCTAACCAATATTTTTATTTATGATTTATTCTCGGATGCAATTTGAATAAAAATTCTTTTTGGATTCTTACATCTCAATAAAGCAATGTATAATTGTCCGTAAGAGAATAAAGGTTTTTTAATATACAATCCTAAAAAATCAAAACTCTGTTTTTCTGATTTTTTAATAAACATAGAACATGCTAATACAAAGGAAAACTGTTTTCTATAACAGACAAAAGGTAATGATAAGAAAGTGCCAGTATTCAATGTTATTCTAGGAATATAAACTTTGCTTTTTTTTCTCCCATAATAATTTCTGCTTCTATATTATACTTAAATAATTTTGTTATTTTTGATTTTGTGCCTCTACAGAGACCGTCTGATATACTTAAAGTTTTTATTAACACTACTATAGCATTTATTTTCATTTTAATTCGTGTAATGGAAGACCCTCTCTAATATTATTTTAAAATACTATTAGAAAATTAATATTTATGTTAATTTAATTATGTTAAGTTAATCATATGATTCATCAACTCCTTTGTGAGTCACGTATTCTGCTGTTGTGAACTCATTCTCAGCCTGCATTGATAAACACACAAATAATGTCGTTATTCTGTCTACTCAATCTGTTAGTGGGGGGTTGGCGCGCGGAGCGCGCAGGAAGGCAATAGCCCCACTAGTATTATATATATCATACTCATGTTCCAGCCCCCATCGCTTTGGAATTTTTTTTGAGCCCCTACGCAAAATAAGGTAAAAATCCTTAAATTTCTCCCTTGTTATAACTCAAAAAAAAAATCCTATTTCTTTCTACCCCCCTCTGCACTCCTCAGGCTACCTACTATGATTTAACAAATTTTATATTTATATTCAGTTGTATTTATTTAGTTTTACACATATTTAATTCACACACATGCCTAATAAGTCACAATAGATGTGATTATTACAAGTATACATAGTAAAAATAGTAATAAAAAAATTTTAGTTTGTAAATCAATGATAGTACTATGTATCCATCCTACTGAATACTATTAACAGGGCACAGCACATTTAAGTAAAGCACACCCAAGCTATTATCAAGTTTAATGAAAAGATATTTTCTAATAAACTATCTTACTTGCTGTACAGATCTTTGTATAACCAACAGTGACTTTACCTGATGAAATGGCCAGGTGTTGGCTTTCTTTTAAAAAGTTATCTAAATAATGAAACTATAAGGTTTATTTTTTATAGCGATGGCAAGAGTTTCCTCTGTGGGGGCATAGTCATTCTGTATTTAACTTAGCAGCACATAATAAAAATAAATGAAAAATAGTTTTTCAAGAAATTTATATGTTTAAAGCTATAGAAAACTCCGAAACAGCATTGACGGCTTGGTTTGAATTGACTATAATAGATGGTTTTTCAGAAAAATCAAATACTTGAATATTCCAGAATATTACTGTTTCAATTCGACAGTAAAAACTTGGGTTAGAAGAAAAAAAGTTAGACGTAATTAAACAATATGGCGACTAAATATAGTGTTACCTAAGGACTCTGAGCGTTTTATTTTGAAATTAATTTTAAATCGAGCGAGTGGAGCTGAATCTTTCAAAATTTTGAAAACAGTTGATAACATACCTTACAGTACGCTTAGACATACTGCTATTGCTTTAGGTTTAGTCGAACACGACTCTCAAAAATGTAAAATATTTGAAGAAGCTTGTAATGTTATGCTGCCACATCAACTGAGAAAATTTTTTGCATTGTCTATCTTTCATTTAATATCGAAAGACGTTTCTAATAAGACTATTTTGGAATCATTCCAAAAAATTTTTATTGAAGATTTAAAAGACTATAAGCGAAATAATGCTTTATTACATTCGAACAGAATCTTCAAATTTAAAGAAAAGTCGTGTAAAGATTATGGATTACCAGAATCAAACAGTAATATCTCAAAATATTTAGGACCATAAAACTGTCATTGATTTAAAAAATAAATTTTAACGATTTATTTGTTCGACTAAATAGTGATTAAAAAAAAATTTTTAACGAAATTATTAATAGTGATACAGAACTATATTTTATTGATTGTCCAGGAGTTCCTGAAACAACATTTTTATACAAAACATAAATTTTTCGTTTTTTTATTAAAAAATAAAAAGGTTAGACCTATGGATTGGACAGGAACTGCTTCAATTTAAGGAGGCTCCTACGACTACTGCTGAGGTCATAGACAAACAAAAAATAAAGTTTTGTTTTTCAATAAACAAATGTGTCTGAAAATCATTATGATATTTTTAATAACGTATGAAGTGGGATAAATGATATTTATGTGTGCAGTTTAACTTTGTACGAAAAATTAATTATTGTTTTGACCAGTCCAGTGCATACCAGGGTACACCACCAGACTAGACCACCTGTGTTGGTGTAGTATAGCGATGCAATATATAGGTATATGGTATATACAGGGATATTCTTAAGTACTTGAGGAGCGGGGACCAGCGTGTAGATCAGCTTCCCCTGAGTCAACATCCGTTTACAGAATAATTTTTTAACAATTATTCATTAAGTAAATGGATTTACAAAAGTTCTCGATTTCATCGTGTTTAGAACGCCAATTTCAATGGCGCGGGCTGCCATGAAGTGCAGTGTCATGGATCGCAACAACATAGCAACAAACCTCTATGTCGATAAACAAAGTCTGAATAGATCCCCTAGTGGGCAGAAGATGGCGCTCAAATGTAATTAAAATAGTAAAAACGTGTAGCTATAAAACTATTAGAAGGACATGAAGGGCTGAGTATCACAAACGTAAAAACAAATAAATAAGCGTACGAAAAGGTTATTTAGTTAACCAAAGATATTATTGTGAGATCATTCTACATACGATAAAATTGACAATGACGATGTAGATAATGATGATAATGATAAAGATAAT